GGGGGCGCGGGCGGGCGGTGGGCGCACGGCTGCCGCGTGACGGGGAGCCAGCCGGGGACCGGGCGCGAGCTCGGCCTGTAGAAACGTCGCCTCGCGTGCAGGTGGGGAAACTGAGGCTTTGGTGTCGGTAACTTTGCAAGGGACTGGGCCCCCCCTCACCTGGGGCGACCCCGGGAGACTCAGGCTTGCTCAGGTACCAGAGAGGCGCTGGGCAGCAGATTCTGCTGGGGTGCTGCACCGCCCCGAGGGGACGGAGCTTCAGACCAGGGGGGCTGCGCTGCGAAGGGACTAACACGTGCGGAGCCGCGGCGTGAGCGCCGGTGTGTCGGCAGTGTATGCTTTAGACGTGGCACAGGTGGCCCTCGAGGCGGGTGACGTTCTCCCTACCTCCGGGACCCAGAGGTAGCTCTTTTGCCCCGACTCTAGGGGATGATGTCGCCAGTAAGGAACAGAGTCGGGCTGAAAATCGAGTCCCCTCTTCCCGGGAACCTGTGCGTCCTCGGTCAGCGCAGAGGCAGCCCTGCGGTAACAGGGCTGGCCTCGGTCGCCGGGTGGACGCGCCTGCCCTCTGTGCATCCCCGTGTACCTTAGTGTAAGGTGGCTCGTGCGCCTGCCCACTTCCCACCCTGTCGCCTACTGCCGTCCTGCGGGCCACCGAAGTACTTCCCTCGGGGGCCTTCCTGCTCCACTCCTGCCCGCCTACAGTGTTTTCTACTGACTACACAGAAGCCAGAGTAACCTTTTCAAAGTTGTAAATCAGATAGTTTCATTAAATCCAAATTCCCCGCATGGCCTCAAACCTCTGTGATCGAATCCCTGCCTGTTGCGCTTCCCTGCCCTCATTTTATTTCTCATCCTTTTCTTCCCCCGGTCACTGTACTTCAGCAACCCTGGTCTCCTGTTGGTTTCTCAAACATGCAAGATCTCTTCTCACTTAAGGCCGCTGTACTTGCTGTCCCATCTCCTTGGAATGAACTTCTTGCAACCTGTAAGCTAGCTAATGTTTTTCCTTCTGGTCTGAGCTCAAATGTCACCTCCTCAAAGAGACCCACCTTGAATACCCCATTCTAGTAATTCTCAACTGGGGGCAGTTCTACCCCTTAGGGGTGTTTGACAATGTCTAGAGACATTTTTGGTTGTTACAACTGGGAAGGTGCTACAGGCATCTAGAGACCAGGGATGCTGCATACATCCTACAACGCACAGGACAGCTCCCCATAACAAAGAATTATCTGGCCCAAAATGCCAAAGAAACCTTGCCATATCCAAAGTAGGGCCCCTTCCCCTCAGGTTACTCTGATACAATCAGCTTGCTTTCATCAAAGCAGTTTTTACAATCTGACAATTATTTTGTGTGTTTACTCCTTTATTATCTATTTCTGGCACGTGGGAAAGATCCTTATCTCTTGTCGGTGTATTTTTTTTTTCTTTGGGTCTTCTTTCAGAGTTCATTTTCCTTTCTCCTGAAGTATATTCTTTAATAGTTTTTTTAGTGCACATGCTTCCCAAGCATGTGCATGCGTGCATACACACACACACACACACACACACGCACGCACTTACTTGAAAGATGGCTTAGCCAGGTATAAAATTCTATGTTGAGGGCCGGCTCCGTGGCTTGGCGGTTAAGTGCGCGCGCTCTGATGCTGGCGGCCCGGGTTCGGATCCCGGGCGCGCCCCGAGGCACCACTTCTCCGTCCAACGCGAGGCCGAGTCCCACGTACAGCAACTAGAAGGATGTGAACCTATGACATACAACTATCTACTGGGGCTTTGGGGGGAAAAAAATGAATAAATAAAATCTTAAAAAAAAAAAAAAAAATTCTATGTTGACAGTTATTTTTTTTCCCTCAATCCTTTGGAAATATTGTTCCGTTATCTTCTTGTATCTGCTACTGCTGTTAAGAATTCTGCTGATAATCTAATTGTTATTCTTCAATGAGTGATGATCTTTTTGGTAACTTCTAAATGTTCTCTATTCTTGATGTTCGGTCATTTCACTATGCTAGATTTGTTTTTATTAATCCTTCTTGGAATTTAACGTGGTTTTTCTTCTGAAAACTCATAGCTGTCTTTACTTTAGAATAGTTCTCAGATGTTCTCTCTTTAAACATTGCCTCTTTCCCATTCTGTCCAGTTTCTCTTTGTTTTTTCATTTTGTTAAGCCCCTATTAGACATATGTTTGTATATTCTGTCTTCCATGTTTCTTTACCTGTCTTTAATATTTTTCTCTTTACCATTCTGCATTTTGTGTGATTTCCAAATCACTAATTCTCTCTTCAGCTGGGTTTGCTTTACTGTTCAACTATCTGTTGCTGTTTTATTTCAAGGATTCTACTTTTTAATTTATTGGCTTTTGTTTCAGATCTGCCTGTTTGTTTGTTTTTTTTATTCTTAATGTTCTATTGATTTGTGGATTCTATTCCTTCATCTCTGAACACATTCAAGTTGTTTTAAAGTCTTTTAGATTGTGCTATTATGGCTAATTTTTGAAGCATGCATTTTCCCATTTGTTGTATTTGCTGACTGTCTTACATGGCAGTGGACTGCTTCTTGTTTTGCAACTTTTAATCTTTGAGCTCACGGAGTGAGGGGGGTTCCTCTGAGATTTTCACACATATCTTTGCTGGCTTCTAGAGGCATCCTTACAAGGGCATTTTTTTAACAAGTTGCCTCTGCCTGGCCCTTATAGGGTTCACTTGTCTGGATCAGTTTTTATGACAGACCCAGATTATGACAGATTCTTAGCTTAGGGGTTTTGCTCCCTAAGGGTAATGTAGATAGAGGTCCCACACCTTCAAGTTGCATAGATCAGGGTACCTGATTTTTTAGATTTGTTCTGCCTTTGCTGTCTTCTCACACCTATTCAAATGGTGCCTTTTCTCATTTCCTTTAGGTTTCTGTTCAGATGTCACCTTATCAGAGATGCCATCCCTGATCACTGCTTATACCCCTTCTCTGCTTTATTTTTCTTCATAGCACTTAGCACCACCTGACTTATTTCATATATGTATTTTTTTCTTGTCTGTCTCCTTTAATTAGAATGTACGCTCCATAAGACTAAAAAAGGCAGGGGGGATCTTTTGTTCTCAGCTGACCCCTGGTGCCCAGAACAGTGCCAGTTACATAGTAAGGATTCAGTAAACATTTGCTGAATGAGTGAAGAGCCTGGGCATGGTGGCCTGCTGCTCTTCAGGGCAGCGGAGTGGAGATTTTTCAGTCCCCATTCATCCATTATGTGCGCTTCCTGCCTCCCGTCTTTGTGCACAGAGCTTTGCTCTAGTTCCCTGCCATGCATGTGGCCTGCACCTTTGCTCCAGAGCCTGCTCAGGTGTTCAAGCCAGAGCCCCTGAGATGTGTGTCCAGTTCTGAGGACTCTGGATTCTGCAGATTCAGTGCCTGCTCACCACTTTGGCTGTGGTTTTCACCTTGTTCTGGCACCTAGCAATTTTCCTTTTCTTGTTTTTGAATTTGACTTATATTCAAACATTTCAAACATTGCTTTATCCAACATTTGTGTGTTTGAAGTGGGAAGAAGGGATATCTGTGTCTGCCCAGTCCTACTGCCTGATTAGACAGGCCCCTTGTCTGTCTTGTTCACAGCTGTGTCACCAGCACCTAGGACAATCCTTGGCACAGAGGAGGTGCTTAGTTACTATTTGTTGAATGAATGAGTTCCTCACGTTATAGATGAGAAAATGGAGTTCAAGACGTAAAGGAGGCACTAAAAGTCCCCAGTCATTCAACATTATTCACTACCTTGGTTGTCTTTCCACAGGAATCTGGTCGGCAGCCCTGAATGGAGACCTGGGCCGAGTGAAGTATTTAATCCAGAAGGCAGCGGACCCTAGTCAGCCCGACTCGGCCGGCTACACCGCCCTGGTGAGGAACCCAGAGTCAGGAGAGAGGCTACAGCTTAGGGAGACCGGCTCTCTGAGGGGGGTTGGCGCTTACCTTCCATCTCCTCCCTCCTGTTCTCTCCCAGCAGAAACCCCAGCAGGGTTTCTGTGTTACGCATCATGTGAACCTGGGTTTTTTAAATTAGTGTAAATGCTTGACATCACTTATGTGACTTCATTTTCATAACAATCCCATGCGGTCAGAATGGTTACCATCCCCATTTTCCAGTTGAGGAAACTGATGCTATAAATGAGGAAGCTTGCCCAGGCCACACAGCGAGTGGGGGTGGCATCTGAGACGATTCCAGGCCTCTCGCTCCAGAGCCCCTGCTCTCAGCCTTCTACCACCCTTGTCACCTGCCTGGGTTCTGCAGTCTGACTTTGCTCTGTTCCCTGCAGCACTATGCCAGCCGCAATGGGCACTACGCCGTATGCCAGTTCCTGCTGGAAAGTGGGGCTAAGTGTGATGCCCAAACCCATGGGGGTGCCACTGCCCTGCACCGGGCCAGCTACTGTGGCCACACTGACATCGCACGGCTTCTGCTTTCTCATGGGTCCAACCCCAGGTTGGTAGATGATGATGGCATGACCAGTCTACATAAGGTAGGGCCCCTTTCCCCCTTCAGAAACTTTTTTTATTGTCATTATTAAAGTTATAACATGTTCACTGTAGGAAAAAATGGGGAAAACACAAAAGCATAAAGTAGAAAATAAAAATCATTTGATATCTCAGTGCTCACCTGTCATCACTTTAGGCTTAATGTCCAATTTTCCAGCTTTTTTCCCGTGCATGTAAATTAGAATTAAATGTGCAGCGTCCTTTTACTTTTCTTTCCCTTAGTGATGTGTCCTGAATGCCTTTCCATATAATTAGTTTTCTGAAACTTGCACCTACTATCCTGTAGTCCACTTTCCATACTGTAGCCAGAGTAATCATTTAACTAAACGCTTTCTGACTAGAAATACCTACACATGGTAAACAGTTTTTTTTTTTTTTAATTTTTATTTATTTATTTTTCCCCCAAAGCCCCAGTATATAGTTGTATGTCATAGCTGCACGTCCTTCTAGTTGCTGTATGTGGGACGCGGTCTCAGCATGGCCAGAGAAGCGGTGCGTCGGTGCGCGCCCGGGATCCGAACCCAGGCCGCCAGTAGCGGAGCGCGCGCACTTAACCGCTAAGCCACGGGGCTGGCCCGTAAACAGTTTGAAGAGTACAAAAGGGTGTACCTTGAAAATGAGTTTCCCTTCCACCCCTGACCCCTAGTCCCTCAGTCGTCTAGGTCACTTCCCTTAAGGCATCCACTTTTACCAATTTCTTATGCATCTTTGAGAAGTGGTTTATGTATATGGCATATGTGTGTAAATTTATTCCTCTCTTTTAAAGGAATGGTTTTAAAAAGCAGTTCTGGTCATGCCATACCTTAGAGTCCTTCAGAGGCTTTTACTGAGTCCTTAAGCTGGTCTGCAAGGCCCTGTGGGGCTAGCCCTGCTACCTGTGCAGTTTGTCTTGGGCTCTCAGCCTCTCGTCCCCTCCACTCAGGCCCTGCTGTCTTTTTCACTTTCTTGAGCCTACTACTCTGTCACTCCCGGGCCATGTGTAACAAGCTCTTCCTGTCTGGAAGCCTCTCCTCTCCTGTTTTTCATCTGGCTTATTTCTCTCCTTCCTTCTGGACCTCAGCTTCTACATCACACCCTCAGAGAGCTTTCCTATTCCTCCGACATGGGAACTCACCCAACCGTACGCCCCAAAGCACCTGTACTTGACTTTTCTCAACTCTTCTCCCTGAAATTCCCTGTTTGAGCTCTGTCTCTCCCTGGAGAGAGCTGGGACCTGACCTTGTTTACTGTGGGAGCCCCAGCACTGCACACAGGTGCTCAGTGGGTGTGTGCTGAGTGAACAACTGGAGGTTTCGTTTTGTTTTGCGACCATTGCCAGTTGGAGAAGCATATTGTTTATTTCTCAAAGGTCTAAGCTGGTGGTGCTCAGATGTTTTACTGCCGCAGCTCGCATGATGGGTGCTTACAGGCAGGACCCCACCATGATATAGCTGGCTGGTGCGCACAGCTTATGGCATTTTCGATGCATCTCTATCCCTTTTTCTCTCATTCAGAAAATGCAAATGTGTGAGAACTGAATTGTTCTTCTTTCTGTTTTTCTAAATAACTATTTGCAAACATTGGCACTTTTTTACAAAAAATTATTTGGAATGCATCTCACAACTGCTCACAACATACCACTGCCTGTATTGAGGCAACAAAATTGAGAACTTTGGGTCTGTACTCATTAAGAGGACCTGCTAAATAAAGATTCGGATTCAAATTTGAGATGCTGGTTGCTCCTAATATCAATTTTGATAACTCTCAAAAGCCACTGAGTCTGTCAGTTTGTCTGTTGGGAGGAGTAGGGAATGTAGTGGTATAACATAGTTATCGGGAGTTCGGACTTGGAGGTCAGACAGACCTGATTTAGAATCCCCAGGCTGCCACACTAGTTCTGTGACCTTGAGTGAGTTACTCAACTTCCTGTTTTTTTGAGGAAGAGTGGCCCTGCGCTAACATCTGTTGCCAATCTTCCTCTTTTTCTTTTTTCTCCCCAAAGCCCCAGTACGTAGTTGTATATCATAGTTGTAGAGCTGTAGCTCTTCTATATGGGACGCTGCCTCAGTATGGCTTGATGAGTGGTGAGTAGGTCTGTGCCCAGGATCCGAACCGGCGAAGCCTGGGCCACCAAAGCTGAATGCGTGAACTTAACCACTATGCCACTGGGCCAGCCTCAGTTACTCAACTTTTATAAGCCTTGGTTTCTTCATCTGTAAGATGGGAATAATGATAGTTCCTACCTCTGATGGTTATTGTGAAAGTTTAAATAAGAGAGTCTTTGTAAATCACTTAAACTCAGTTATTTTTTGGAGGAGCTAGGTTAGAAATTGACGTCCAGATTGGGATCATCTATCTCAAAGGAGAAGAGAAGAACCTGGGCCCACATTTCTCTGTTCATCTGAAAGTTCCCAGAGGGCAGGGGCCGTGTCTGAGGTATCTTGTGCCCATGGTGCCCAGCACCCTGTAGACGATCTGAATGTTCGTAAAAGACATTTAGAGGGGGCCGGCCCAGTGGCGTAGCGGGTTAAGTTTGCGTGCTCCACTTTGGTGGCCCAGGGTTCACAGGTTTGGGTCCTGGGCGCGGACCGATACACTGCTTGTTAAGCCCTGCTGTGGCGGCGTCCCATATGAAGTAGAGGAAGATGGGCACGGATGTTAGCCCAGGGCCAGTTTTCCTCACCAAAAAAAAAAAAAAAGAGAGAGAGAGATCCAGAGTTCTGTACCTGTCTTTAATGTGCAGGCCTAGACCAAGAAGAACAGCTGCTGAGCAAAGGACTCAAGAAAGAAAAACTCAAGCTAGCTGCCAGAAAGGAACTGGAGCACTCCATCAGTCTGTATGCAAGCCATTGGGATTCCATAGGAAATAGGGGAAATCTGCTCAAACAGCCAGAGTCACCATTTCCAGGAGACCTTTTTTAGGACCAAGAGATCCCCAGAAGTGGAGCAAAGAAAGAGCAGGCCCCAGGGGGGTATGGCTTTTGATTCAGGCCTCTCTCCACAGGCTGCTGAAAAGGGTCACGTGGACATTTGCTCCCTCCTGTTGCAACACAGCCCAGCCCTGAAGGCCGTCCGGGATCGGAAGGCACGACTAGCATGCGACCTGCTGCCCTGCAACAGTGACCTGCGGGACCTGCTGGCCAGCTGAATCGCCACCCTTCTGTCTCAGGCTGCCACACAGACTAGCTCTCCAAGCCCTCGCCTTGGTCAGCATCCATGGTGCAAGGTGGGAAACTGAGGCTAGAAGACTCAGGAAGAACCCCATTCTGGCCACTGTGGAAGCGAGGGAGTGGATTTAGTGGGGCCACAAGTGCTTAAGCCTGGACAAATGGTCATATTCTAAATTAGTTCATATGGAAACATCCATTTGGAAAAAGTAAAGTTATATCCTTACCTCATCCCATGCACAAACATAAATTTCAAGTAGATTAAATATCTAAATATAAAAACACAAAACTATGTAAGTATTAGAAGAAACTATGGAAGATATGACAAATTAAAAGCTGCTTTCTAGCCACATGACCTTGGTCCAGATCACTTTCCCGGCGTGTCTCTGTTTCCTCATCTGTAAGATGAGCATGATTACAATGGGCCCTGCCTCCAGGTCAGCGTGGGGATTAAATGAGGGAGGATGTGGAGAGAGTGGCCCTGCACGCAGTGTATCAGAGCACCCACTGCCCCCAGACCTGATCAGCACTCGTGTTTATACCATAATTTCATTAATTTTAACAATCTGATAAACAAGTGCTATTGCTTTGTTTTATTTTGCATTGCTAATTACTAGTGAGGCTGAACACCTGTCTTCTGTGAACTTCCTGTCCATACCCTTTGCCCATTTAAAATTTTTTTCTTTTTTTGGTTTATAGTTGTTGTTTATGTATTCTGGATATTGATCCTTTGCGTTTTATATATATATATATTTTTTTTTTTTTTCTGTCATGCTGTCACTTAACTTTGTTGGTATCTGTTCATGGAAATGGTACAACCACTGTAGATGGCAGTTTGGCAGTATCTGTTAAAATTTAAATGATCAGGGCTAATGTTTTTATTTCTCTGTAGTTACCTAAAGAAGTATTGATCCACGTATGCAAATATTTATTTACAAGGGCATTCACAATGATGTGCATTGGAGCGTGGGGTGTAATGTAAAACAAATGGAGGTAACCTAAGTGCACCCCAACTGGGGAATGGTTAAATTCTGGTACACACATCACTGCATGCAACGCGGCGGAGGGCAGTGTGTGCTATTGTGGAAAGAGTGCCGAGTCGTCGTCATTGTGACGCCTCCTAAAACAAAATATGTCTGTAGAAATATGTGTGTATATACACAAAACATACGGGAAAAAAGTAAAGAGGACATCAATTACACTGGTCCCCAGGGTCTCCTCTGGGCCACTGGCGAGAGTGGTTAGTCAAGCAGGTCTTGAGCTGTATTTGCTACATTAGGATTTTTTACAAGGGGTAAATTTTTTTAATAAGTCAATAGCAATAATAAGTTAATACCAATTAATTTCATGTGGGAGAAACTAGTTTTCTGCTGAGAATTTCAGTCAAGCCTGTTGATGCAAATGCCCCTGTCCTGGAACATCGAAGGAGAGGAGTTTTTGTGGCGACAGTGGACGCCTGAGCTAAAGTCTGACTTTTTCTTGTCTGTCTGCCCTCAGTCTGGTCTAGGTGACTCTTTGCCTCATAACCAAAGGCAGGAAGTCACCTTTGACAAAAACACCCTGGAGCATAAGGACTGAGTTTCTTTAAAGAGCTCTGGGTTCCCCAGGTCTCAAAACTTGGAAGTACTTACAAGAAGCCAGCTGTGGGTGGGACCATTTGCGGCCCTTTGAGGCCTTGGATTGAACTTGACCCGTAGTCCTCTCTCCTTGTTCTGGTCGTCTCTGCTCAGGTTGCTCCAATTCTGGAGTTTTATTTACTAGCTATCAGATTTCCTTTCAAAGGTCAAGGCAGAGTTCAAGGCACAGCTGGGTTAAGGGCGGGCTTGGCGTCTTTGGGAGAATTAGCAAGTTTGACTTGGGTGGTTTAAGACAGATTGCTCTGCGACTGGGTTAATGGTTAACACTCCATACTTAGACCTGGAGCGGATCCCAATCTCACCTTCCCTGTGGAAGGGCACACTCCCTGCCCAGGAGAGCGCCTGGTGGGGGACCTCCATTTGGGGCATGGAATACTTTTCAAGAGGCATGAGGTGCTGATGACAGGCTGGTCTTGGCTCCTGATGGTGGTGTATCTTTACATGTTGGCTCCTGGAGTGGTGAGGGAGAAGAAACAGGACGTGTGCAGGAGAAGCAGGGGTCTGGGGAAGGAACCACCAGGAGTCGGGAGGGCAGCCTTGAAACTGGCTGGGAGTTGGGAAATCACTTGACGCCTGATTTCCTCACGTAGGTGCTGTGAGGATTCCTCTGTGAGGAGGGTGCACCTCCTGGGCCTGTCTTTGCCAAGGTCCTCTTCAGGGTTCTGGCTTGCTTTTGCTAGGGCCGTCAGGCTGGGTCTTTCAGGGTCTCAGGCAGCAAGACTTACAGCAACATGGAGGCTCATGCTCGACTCTTTATCACGAGTGGCATCTAGACAGTGGGAAATATTCCCCCTGAAGCTGGGCTAGTGGTCCAGGTACCCCAGGACATGGTTTATTGGTTGAATTACCCCTGAGTAGATGTGGAGGATGGCACAGGTGCAGGAGAGTGGGTGTCTGAGGATACAACTGACTCAGCTCAAAACAGCCTTTCTCCTGCCTGCAGCGGGCTGCACGCTCACACTGGTATTTTGGTTAGTGTTACAGAGCCACAGAGTTATCTGGCCCATGCGCAAGCTCTGCCCTGCCTTGCCCCTCAGAGACGGCTCTCCTATAACAGGGCTGAGCAGCGCAGCCCTTGTCACTGGGGGTGTGAGGAGTCGGGGGACTATGGACTTCATCAGCATCCAGCAGTTGGTAAGGACGTGGGGCAGAGGGGCGGGAGGCCAGGCAATCGTCTCAGCAGAATGAGGAGGTCCGGCTAGAGGAGGGCAGGCAGCTGTTTTCTGTGGCCTGAGGATCACGTCTTAGGAGCAGAAACTTGCAGTTCTTTTCTGGTCTGTCTGCCCAGTTCTCATGGGAGGTGGTGAGGAGGTTAGGGAGCAAGAGAGGGGAACTGAATGGAAAGAGGTCAGGTGATGGTGGACATGAAAATCCTGGAGTTTAGTGAGTTTTGCCCTGGACTGTGATGGCAACAGAGGAACAGGAAATGGACGGCCTTGGAAGACATGAGCAGAGCTGGGGTGTTGGTTAGCTCAGTTGCTCTGGAAATGGTCCAGGGGGTCTGGCAGCCTTGGTTGGGGAGGGGGGAGAAGGGGGCTCTTGAGTTCCCTGGGCGGTGAGAGAAACAGTGACACTAGTGACACTTTGGGATGTCTGTTTTGGTGAGGTGGGACATGGAGGGTAGTGAGGCCCAGGAGGTCACATTGTCCCACAAGCCCCACCGTGGGCCAGGGTCGCAGCTGGCCCCAGCCTGGCACAGCCTCTGCCGGGAGGCAGGTGGCAGGGCCTGAGAAGTGTTAGGTTGCCAGAGCTTGCTTTAGAGGGAATATAGTTCTCCGTGGCTGGAAGCCATAGGCTTTGCCCTCCTATCATTCCAACCTTTTCTCTCCCCCTAACATGCTTACTCCCCAATGCTCCCCAGCTCCTGAACTCCTGGGGGTGGGGGTCGGGGTGGGGGAGGAAGAAAAGAACAAGTCCCATAACTCATTTATCTTCACAGCTCCATGAGGTAAGTGCTAGTTTTACCCCATTTTACTGATGAAGAAACAGCTTTAGGAAGAGCCAAGATTTGAACCCAGGAATTCAGAATTTTACCCAGGAGGCCTCTCCTCAGTCCCTCTGAGCTTGGGTCAGGTGGCAATATGGCGTTATCTGGTAGGAATGTAAGGACAACGACCCAGGAGGGAAGCTGAGGTGTCATCTGCCCTGATCTTACCTGGACACAAGCCTGGCAGTATAAATAGATGTGCTGTCATGCCCCTGACCTTGTGATCCTACTGACTGGACAGAGCAGGCAGCAGTCAGCTACCCCCCTGGGCCTTGGGCGACACTACAGTTGGTGAGAGCCAGCAACAGCCACAGGGATTGGGGAGCATGCCAATGTTCCAGTCCGCTGGGAAGCTTTGAGAAGGGTCAGGCCAGCTCTCAGATCCAAAATACTAATCTTTGTAGGTCAGCTCTTGTCAGGGTCTGCACAGCTATATTTTCTGAGGGCTCCTCCTAATTCTTCTGATTCTTTATCCTTATCCTGTTCCTGTAGGTAAGTGGACAGAGAGTCGAAAGGAAAGTGTTGGGATGTGGACATGGAGTTCCTGATCCTGGAGGCTGGCCTAGTGACTGGAGTCACACCCCAAGAGGCTGTGGCCCGGGAGAAGTGGAGACTGGAAGAAGAGAAGAAGAAGAGAGTGAGTGATGCTGGGGTGGCAGGGGCTAGTCTGGTGTGGGCAGGCTCTGAGAAGCGAAGGCCTTGGAGAGCCAGGGACTCAAGGTCTGAGAGACACCTGAGCGGCTGGCGTGTCTCCTGTGGGCAGGGAAGACGAGGATTAGAATAACCAAGAGCCTGCCCCCAAGGCTCCCATGACAGTGGCTGATGGCTGGCATGGGCTTGCCTTCTGCCCCCTTTCTGCCCCAGCTTGAAAGATTTAACAGTTCCCGACTTAATTTGGAGAATCTGGCTGACTTGGAAAACTTGGTTCAAAGACGGAGAGAAAAGCGACTGAAACGCCGAGTCCCCCCCAGGGCACCTGAGCCCGAGGTTAAGGTGAGTGACAAGTTGGGGGCGCACACCCCCAGGGCCAGAGTTCATGAGGAAGAGCTTCCTGGCCCCTCACTGCCGGCCACCACCACACAGCCAGTGCCTGACAAGCCCGACAAAATCCATTCTGGAGCTGCCACCACCCGTCCCTGCCCCCCAGTGTTTGTTTGCTGGGCCAGCCAGAACCAAGTCCCACAAACTGGGGGGCCTAAACAACAGAAATTTATCGTCTCACAGGCTAGACATCCAAGATCAAGGAGTCAGCAGGGTGGTTCCCTCTGAGGGCCCTGGGGAGAATCTGTCCCCGCCTCTCCCCCAGCCCCTGGCGGTTGGTGGCAATCTTTGGTGTGCCTTGGCTTTTGGACGCATCACCCCAACCTCTGCCTCTGGTTCGCATGGAGTTCTCCGTGTGCTTGCCTGTGTCCAAATGGCCCCTTTCCATAAGGACACCGGTCCTATTGGATTAGCGCCCACCCTACTCTAGTATGACCTCATCTTTAATAAAAGCTGCAATGACCCTATTTCCAAATAAGGTCACATTCTGAGGTCCTGGGGTTAGGATTTCAACGTACGAACTTTGAGGGGACGCAAGTCAACCTGTAACACCCCCCACCCAATGCCTATTCAATCGGAGTCTCCTGGAGGTGGGCTTTTAAAATATTATTTGTACAAGCTGACAGCATGCTGTCCTCAGCCAACTCTTTGGGGACCATGTTGCTAGACTGGAGAAGCTGTGATGTCCTAGAAGCTACAGTTTTGGGGAGTGACTGGATCTTGTCCTTCAACTCATCCAGGGGCAGCCCCAGGCCCGGCTGGAGCCTGTGGACCTGGAGATGTTCCTGAAGGCAGCTGCTGAGAACCAGGAGGCCCTGATTGACAAGTACCTGACAGACGGAGGGGACCCCGATGCCCACGACAAGGTAGTGAGGGTGGGGCGAATAGGACTGCAGCATCAGCAGCTGCAGGGGTGCTGTCTTCAGTGTGTTCTAGTTTTATGGGGCTTTTCTGTTTTATGGGGCACGAACTCGGTGGTGCCTCCTGAGCCGGGAGGGAGAGGCCCTTCGCATGATGGGCGAGCAGGCAGCTCTGTTCAGGGAATCCAGCACTGGGAACAGGGTCGGGGGGACCTCTAGGGAGTGGCCGCACACGTTCTGCCTGATCTCCTGTCTCCACGCCCAGCTCCACCGCACGGCCTTGCACTGGGCCTGTCTGAAGGGTCACAGCCAGCTTGTGAACAAACTGTTGGAGGCAGGTGCCACTGTGGACGCTCGGGACTTGGTGAGAACCGGGGAAGGCCCATCCTCACAGCAGACCCCTGCCTAGCAGCCCAGCACGTCAGCGTTCCTGTGCTGTTTTTGTTTTGCAGTTGGAGAGGACACCCGTGTTCTGGGCCTGCCGTGGAGGACACCTCGACATCCTCAAACAGCTGCTTAACCAGGGAGCCCAGGTCAATGTTCAGGACAAGGTGAGGGGCGCTCCGCTGTGGGGTGGGCTGTTAGGAAGAGCAGGTGAGCGGGCACAGCAGCTGAGGCTGTTCCTGGAGAAGAGAAAGCAGAGCCCTCTGCAGTTGGGATGAGGCCTCGCCACGCTGGAGCGACACTAATGCTTACTCGCTCCCTTAGATCTGGAGCACCCCCCTGCACGTGGCCGTGCGCACAGGGCACTGTGACTGTCTAGAGCACCTCATCGCGTGTGGAGCCCATGTTGACGCACAGGACAAGGTAGGTGCTTGGTCTTTCCAGCTTGGGGCAGCTCCACTGGGGGACAGTGACTGAGGGAGCCTGCACTCAGTGACGGTACTGCTGACCTTATCCTTCTGGGGATGGGGAGGTTGGGAGGATGACATCCACTTTCCTGACAGGAAGGGGACACAGGTCTACACGAGGCCGTGTGGCATGGCCGCTACAAAGCCATGAAGTTGCTGCTGCTCTATGGAGCCAAGCTGGGCATGCAGAATGTGGTGAGTACGAGCAGGGCCAAGGCCCTGGCCCCTGGGCCGAGGAGGGTGAGTGGAGTTCCTAAGAGGAAAGAAAGGACTGACCCTGCATCCTTGTTCCCAGGCTTCAATGACCCCAGTGCAGCTGGCACGAGACTGGCAGCGGGGCATCCGGGAAGCACTAGAGGCCCATGTTGGGCACCCCCGTACCCGGTGCTAATGACGGCAGCAGACCTGTGGGTCACTCCAGCCACCATTCCATCCCCTTCTCCTCCTCCCCTCCTCACGCCACTCAAGCACCTGTACCCGTGTGTGGTCCTTACCTCTCAGTCCTGATTCCTCTCGCGGTGGTTTCCTCAGTCCTCCAGGGCAGCCCTGTCAGGACTGAGGAGCAGCACCGAATCCGGCAGGTAGATCAAGCAGACCTCCCTGGCTCCAGGTCTCAGGGGTGGCCCATTCCCTGCCAGGGCACAAGCTAGGAAGGGCTGACACAGAGGACCATGGGTAAGCAGGAAACAAAGTGGGTCCACACGAGACACCATGCAAGTGGGAGCCCAGGATGGAGCAGAAAATGACAAGTCCTAAGCCTCGAGCTGCCCAGGGCTGGGTGCTAGAGCTCCTTGGTGTTCACTGACCCCCAGTCTAGGAGACTGGTTACGTCCCTGCCCTTCACAAGGGCCAGTCTCCCGTCGGGTGGTGCTTCAGCACATGGCCAGCAGCCGCCATCCAGGCCACACAGATGCCAGGCATTTCTGCAGCTGCCCCATGCCCTCGGGCGGGGTTTCTCCAGGGGACTTCATTCCTATCAGCAGCAACCCTGATAGTGTCTGGAGCGGCTCTAGACAACTTTGGTCTTGGGGACTCTGGAGTTGGGCCTGGCGGTCTGGAGGGGGCTGCTCAGCAGGTTTGAGGCCCCACTGCAGCAGAAGTCCAGGACCAACCTGGTTGCCCTAGAGGCCCCAAGACCGATGAGCTAGAGCTAGTACTTATCTTAGGGAAACCCCGTGCCCACTGTCCAAAGGCTTTGTTCAGGCCTGCCTGCTGCATGCCAGTTGCCGGCTGGTGGCTCTCCTTATGGGGTGAAGCGCCGGGGTGCTGGGGATTGCTTGTGGCCCACTCAACTTTTGGGGCGGTGGCCCGTAACCCTACTGTGCCGCAGGCGCTGCCGCTGCCGCTGCCCTGGTACTGCAACTCTTGCCTGGACCCCGCGGCTGCTCCTGCTCTGCTTTATCCTCCCTCAGAGGCAGGACACCAAGGAGCTCAGAGCTCAGCCCGAGGGGAAGCAAGGAGGGCGAGGAGCATACCTCCTCCTGTCCTCGTCTGCTAGCTGGTGGTAGATTTAGGACCCCACTTAACACCAGCTCTCCTAAAGGCTCCTTCCTCTCCCCCGTCCTTCCTGTTTCCAGTCGCACTGGTGTAGACCTGTACTACTGGTGGGGCTGGGTCCTTAAATGCCAGAAAGTGAATCTTTAAAGAACTCTGCCCTAAATTGAGAACCACAGGCTGAGGGATGGGCTACAAGATGAAGGTTAGCCTCCCTCACACCAGGTTCCTGGCTTGACATCCATTTTGCAGCAGTTATTTTTAGTCTAACTTCTCAGGCCCAGAACAAGGCAGTTCTTACTGTGTGACAAGCTGACAAGAGCCCCACACCAGGGGCTGCTCTCCTTCCTTCATGTGGGCAGCTCCTGCCCTGTGGTGACAGAGCCAGTGTTCACCCAGACACTGAGGCCATGGGAGAGACAGGTATTCAAGTTCATAGAGAAGACGACTCCCCGTGCAGAAAATGGGGGCACTTAAGCAACTGACAAAAATACCTTTTTATACACATCTGTATTTTTTGTTCATTAAAATTGGTTGATTACCCATCATAGCCTAGTCGTGTGTTCCGGGCTAGGGGGGGCCCGTGCGTTAGCCCCAGGGCCTTGTCTTCCCCGGCGGCAAAGCTCAAGTGTCAACCTCGCCGGCCTGACAGCAAGCTAGGCCCCTAAGTGCAAAATGTGCGGTCCCAGCACTTGGCTCTTATGCTCAAGGCATCTCTGCTCATTGATGGACACGTTCAAAGAGCAGTGGTTCTCAGCCTTGCCTGCTTATTAGAATCACGAGGGAGGATTTTAGAAGTCCTGATGTCTAGACCGATTAAAGCAGAATCCCTAGCGTGGGAACCAGGTATCAGTGTCATCATGCAGACAACATGCTTGTCTATGTAGCAAATCCTAAGGAATCAAATCCTAAGGAATCTAAACACCTACAAGTTTGGCCAGATCTCAGGATCCCAGATAGACATATAAAAGCCTATTTCAACATACTAGCCATGACTCCAAACACCAAAATTTAAAACACAGTTATCATTTACAGTTGCTAAAAAAAAATATGAAATGCTTAGGTGTAAATCTAACAAAACATGTAAGGACTTGTATGCTGAAAACTACAAAACTACTGAATGAAATCAAAGAAGACTGAAATATAGTGTTCATGGATTAGAAGACACAACATAATAAAGATGTCAGTTCTACCCAAATTGATACACAGGTTTAAGGAGTTCCAACCAAAATCCCAGCAAGATTTTTTGTAGATGTAGACAAGATTATTCTAAAATTTATAGCTAAAACAATTTTGGAAAAGAACAAAGTGGGAGGAATCAGGCTACCTGATTTCAAGACTTATTATCTAGCTCCCAGTAATCAAGAGTGTGGTATTGATGGAGGAACAGACATAGGGATCAGTGGAACAGAACAGACAACCCAGAAACACACACAAATATGCCCAAGTGATTTACGACGAAGATCCAAGTTATTCAATGGAGGAAAGATAGCCTTTTCAACAAATGGTGCTGGAACAACTGGACATCTATAGGCTAAAAACAAAAACTTTGACCTAAGTCTTATACCTTATACAAAAATTAACTCAGAGCCAGCCCTCATGGCCTAGTGGTTAAAGTTCGGCACATTCCACTTTGGTGGCCCGGGTTCAGTTCCCGGGCATAGAACCACATCACTCAAGTTTGTCAGTAGCCATGCTGTAGCAATGGCTCACACAGAACCAGGACTTAGCACTAGAATATACAACTATGTACTGGGGCTTTGGGGAGGAAAAAAATAAACTAACTCCAAATGGATAACGGACTTAAATGTAAAACAAAACTGTAAAAATTTTAGGGAAAAAAAGACAATCTTCACAATCAAGGGCTCGGTAAAGAATTCTTAGACGTGACACCAAAAGCATAATCCATAAAAGAAAAAGATCAGTAAATTGGAATTCATCAAAATTTGAAACTTTTGCTCTGTAAAATATCCTGTTAGGATGATGAAAAAATAAGCTACTGACTGGGAGAAAATATTTGCAAACCAAAAACCTGACAAAGCCTAGTATTTACAATATATAAAGAAGTCTCAAAACTCAACAGTAAAAAAAACAAATAATCCAATTGGAAAACGAGCAAAAGACATGGGGCCGGCCCCGTGGCCTAGTGGTGTAGTTTGGCATGCTCTGCTTTGGTGGTTCGAGTTCGCTTCCCAGGAGCAGACCTACACCAATCGTCCGTGGCCATGTTCTGGCAGCAACCCACAGACAAAATAGAGGGAGATTAGCACAGATGTTAGCTCAGGGAAAATCTTCCTCAGCCAAAAAAAAAAAGGGCAAAAGACATAGACATTTCACGCGGTGAAATAAGCACATGAAAAGGTATACATTAAACATTATGGAAATGCAAATGAAAACCACAATGAGATGTCACTATATACCTACCAGAGTGACTACAATATAGACAATACCAAATGCTGGCGAGGATTCAGAGAAAATGGTCACTCATACTTTGCTGGTGGGAATGTAAAAATGTACAGCCGCTCTGAAAAACTTTGGCAGTTTCTTTTAAAAACTAAATATGCAATGACCATACAACCTAGCAATTGCACTCCTGGACATTTAGCTCAAAGAAAACCAATGTTTACACAAAAACCTGTAATGAATGTTCATAGCAGCTTTATTTGGAATAGCCAAAAACTGGAAACCACCCAGATGTCCTTAAACAGGACAATGAGTATACCATGGAATACTACACGGCAATCAAAAGGAACTGTTAACACACGCAACAACCTGGATGAATCTCCAGAGTATTCGTGAGTAACAAAAGCCAATCCCAAATGGCCACATACTGTACGATCCCATTTATACAACATTCTTGAAATGACAAAATTATAGAGATGATGAAGAGATTAGTGGTTGCCAGGGATTAGGGATGGTGGCCGGAAGGGAGGGGGTGGGTGTGGCTCTAAAGGGGTAGTCAGAGGGAGATCCTTGGGGTGATGGGACAGCTCTGTATCTAGATTGCATTGGCAGTTACACAAATCTACACGTGATAGGATGATATATAACTATACACCCACATTGCACCAGTATCCAATTCCTGGTTTTGATACTGTATTATAACTATGTAAGATGTAACCATTGAGGAAAACTGAGTGAAGGGTACATGGGACCTCTATCTTCGCAACTTCCTATGAATCCATAATTATTTCAAAATAAAAATTAGAAAAAGAAAAAAGCAACAGCTCTAAATGCAACTTGGTATCCTGCATTGGATCCTGCAACAGAAAAAGGACATTACTGGAAAAACTGGTAAAATCCAAATAAAGTCTGTAATTTAGTTAATAGTTTTGTACCAATGTTAATTTTTTAGTTTTGATAAATGTACCAAGATTACGTAAGATGTTAACGTTAGGGGGAAGCTGGCTGAAAGGTACATGGAATCCTTCTGTGAAGCTAAAATTATTTCCAAAAATAAAATCCTGATGCCCAGACTGATTAAATCAGAATCCCTGGGGGTGGGCCCCAGGTATCAGTATTTTTAATTTGCCACATGATTCTAATGTGCAGCCGAGGTTGAGAACCACTGTGGTGGAGAGAGATGATTATACAGTATGTTTCCTGCCTGGGTTTGCTCTTGGAGAGAATTCCTTGAGAACCGTTTCTGAGCGAGCACGCGCCTGTCCTTTGGCCTTCATTCCCACTGGTTGCAGATAAAGACCTAACCTCCTTTGAGAAAGGTTCCAGGCATCTTTCTCCCTCCCTATCCAGTCTATGGTCCTAAGTCCCCGCGACGCCCCAGTTTCTACACAGCTGAGGAACTGCAGAAAGTAAATACAGTAAACCAGGAGAAAAAGACAAATGCCTTCTTGTGCCACTTCTCTAAGACCCTGTAGCTGGAACAGGAAAAAAGCAAAGAGCTTGAAATGTTTCAGAGATAGAAGAAAAACTCTGATTTCGTGTTCTTTTTTTAAAGAAAGGTGATGGGGATGTACGTGGTCCATGACCAACCCTCCCCTCCCTTCCTGTTCTCCATGCACATTACAGCCATACAGACCCCCACAGAGGCCTAGGAGGAAGGAACCAAATTGGTCTAATAGTGACTCTCCCTGGGACCCGGCAGTGAAGACAGCATTAGGTGCAGCAGAAAGATCCCTTCCTCCCACGTGTGACCTCTTCTTAAAACACAGAGAAGGACAATACTGTCAGGGGCAACCAGGCAAGGCAGGCAGAGGAACAGCAGAAAGAGCAGGCCCCCTTAGTCCCCCTGGGGCCAGCGTGCTTGCTCAGTGCTCTGGGATGGGCAGAAAAGCAGCCTCCACAGGAGGGAGCAGTACCAGTGGGACAGACTTGTGGGTAATCGTGCTTCTAGGTTTGGCACATGGGACAGCCTAGGGCGTGTGCTTGAAACACAGCAATGTAAGGAAAGCCAAACAGTTCACCGTGGCCAAGGCCATGGATTTGAACCCCCAGCCAAAACTGGTGCTCTTGGTTTGCTCAAAGAGTGCTGCCAGCAGCAGGAGGTGGGCAAATGAAAAGCAAAGTGAGTACAGGTCACAGCCACATAAAGGCAGTAATCGTGCACTCACATCATGGCTTGGCCCAAAGAGGTATAAATACACCGCACTGTCACAGGGAGAAGGCTGGGCCCAGGGACTGGAGATGACACTGCTCTTTCATTCCCTCAGAAGCAGGCCTGCAGGGCTGTGCCCCAGCTGACCCCCGTTTCCTAAAGGAGGGCAGGACCTGCTGAAGGCTCTTGGCACCGAAGTCTGTTCTGAGGACAGCCCAGGACCCGCATCGATAAGGGCCATCTAAAACGTGGCCTGGAGGGGAAGGGGACAGGCTGGCAGGAAGCGACTCCTCGGCTCTCCCCAGCTCCCCATGTGCTTGTCCACTCCCCAGACCTGGGGCTCCTGGCAAGCAGTTAAACTCCTGGGTTCCGCCCAGGGCTCTCCTCGGCTGGGAGGCCCGGTCTGCTGTGGTTGGACCCTAGAGAAGAGAAGGAAAGGGGAATTCATATCAAAGCTGGTCACGGGAATGGTCCTATCAAAGCCAAGCGTTCAAATCCCCTTCGGGACAGGAAGGGGCAGGGGGCAGAGGAGCCTCAGGACACCCGAGGAGGTAGCAAGGCAGAGCTGGGGGTGATGAGTAAGGGAGACGGTTAGCTAACTCCGCCTCACAAGACAAAACCATCACTGAGAGGTGGGGACAGCAGGGGCGGGGCTCTGCTCACAGGAGGCCAAGGCCTTGATGCTGGGCAAGAGGAACCTGCCCCGAACAATCAAGAGCCTGCACTGCAAGGAAGCTTCAGTTTCTGAGGCTGGGCAAGCATTTCATGCTCCCCTCTGTCTTCTAAAAAAGCGATATAAAAAGGAGCTACAGGGACAGGAAGGGCCCACTCCCCCCATGGAGAAATGCGCCCCAGGCTGGGGGAGCTGTTTACAGTGCTCCTCCCAGTGGCCAAAGGTCTGGGAAAGGAAAGCAAAGACAACGTGAAAGGGAAGATATTTACCTTGAGTGTTTTCTTAAAACAAAAAATGCTCACTAGTCCACAGTCAATTATCAACTGCAGTTTCCAAATGTGCCAAAGAGGGAAAGGTCTACTGGGAAGGCTAGAGAGAGCAGAGAGAGAGAGAGAGACAAAGAGGAGAGAAGCTATGGAGCTGACACGGCACAGCCGCCCTGTTCGGGCAGCACCGCAGAGATGGAGGCTCGCGGGGCAGGGAGAGCCAAGGCCCAGCACAGACACTCCGCCTGCTGCTCAGAGCAAGATGGAATCAGGAAGCACGGCGTCTGGAGTGGACTTGCCCTTGGAAATCCAGTTCTGTGAATGACTGATGTGGAGGAGGTATTCCAAATAGGAAATGGCAGGGTCAGAAAACTGCTTCTGTAAAGGGCCAGTATTTTTAAGTTTTGCAGGTCATATGGTCTCTGTGGCAATGACTCATCTCCACTGCTGTAGCTCAAAGGCAGCCACATACAATTCGTAAATAAATGGGTAAGTTTCAATAAAACTTTATTTACAAGAACAGGCAGCTGGCCAGATTTGGCCCTTGCGCCAGTTTGCCAACCCCCACTGTATTACTGTGCCTTCCAAGCATTTCAGTAAAGGCACTTCCCTGCCGGGAATCTAGTGCCAAAGTCACCCAGGGAATGGTCTGACCTGCCCTATTTAAGCAGTGCCCCCAGTGACATCTCCACGTGTGTGGCGGCACTAAGCTCTCCTGGGCAGCACAGGGCCAGGCTAACAGATAAATTCAGCAAGACCTCAGAGCGCCGGGCAAGGCGCAGAAGGACAGCAGGCAAGCCGCACTGGGGGCAAATGTCCGGCACATTTAGGGGAACATAACCAACACTGTGGCTATAAACGGGGGATGGTAACCCACTTCAAAGAGAAAAATGACCCACAGAGCCACCATAAATTATTCCCTTACACGACTGTCCGATGAGCAGCTAAAGCCAAAAAAGGATTAAAAAAACCTCTGGGTATATGAAAAAAGACGAAATGAAGGGACAACCATCGATCTTAGATTGAAGTCTGTACCTTGAATATAACATGCACAGTCTGAGCAGCAGATGGAGCCACAAAGACTCACATTCTGAAAAAGCAACAAGGCCTTGGCTTTTGAGACCCAAGTCTAATGAGATGGCGTGACCCTCTGTACAAGGGGCATCTCACAGAATAAAAGAACGTCGCAGTGTACACACAGGCGCGCGATCGGCCCTTAAAGGCGGACCACCACCCGAAAGCGTGCGTTCACTCAGAGAGCACTGTGACCCGAGCCCAGACCAGCACTCCGCAGCACAGCCCACCTGGGGTCCCCTTGACCCACACTCGGGCTGAGCCACCCACGTGGCCCAGCGTGGGGCTCTCGGTCCCTTGCACCTGCCCTGTCACCTTTCTATTTTAAAAACATGTTTGTGTTCTCAAGCGTGGCTCTCAGTAGCCAAAGCTGCTCCCTGTGAGGCCCCACAGCCCAGAGGCCACGGGCATGCTCCAGGCCAGTGCCTGGGGGTCTCTCTGCCTCTGATTCTTTTTTTTTTTTTGTGAGGAAGATCAGCCCTGAGCTAACATCTGCCAATCCTCTTTTTTTTTTTTGGCTGAGGAAGACCAGCCCTGGGCTAACATCCATGCCCATCTTCCTCCACTTCATATGGAATGCCGCCACAGCATGGCCTGACAAGCGGTGCGTCGGTGCACGCCCAGAATCCAAACTGGCGAACCCCAGGCCTCCGCAGGAGAGTGCACACACTTAACCGCTTACGCCACCTGGCTGGCCCCTCTGCCTCTGATTGTTCATCTGTAAAATGGGCATAACTACTGCCTCATCAAAACTTCAGGGAAGTTTTCTTAAAGAAGTCAGGACGAGGAAAGCTCTGAGCACAGTGCCTGGCAGAGTTAAGTGTCTGATAAGACCTCAGCACTGCACTGCACGGCAGGTGGGAGAGGGAGAAAAGAGGGGCAGGCCCAGTGGGTGGCCTGCAGTTCCTTCCACGGCCTCTCCAGAAGCCTTGCCCGCTCCTCCAGGAATGCCAAGTCCTGGAGTATCTCTGACCCCAACCTGGGAGCTCAATCAGAATAAAAGTAGCTTCCTCAATAACAAGGACAAGAAAGTTCCCCGACATTACCACTCCTACCCCAAGCTCACTCTCCACAGGCTCCTTGTTATTTTCCCTCCTCACACAGTAAGGGTGGGGTTTGCCACCCCACACCCCTAGCTCCCACTCCTCATTGTAAAGTCTGTTTCTTCCAATGCAATCTTTGTGCTCACAATGGAACCCTGGATGGGAGGGGCATGCTTTAAATGTCAGCTTGGGGGGCCGGCCTGGTGGCGCAAGCTGTTAAGTGCCCGCGCTCTGCTGCGGAGGCCCGGGGTTAGCCAGTTCAGATCCCGGGCGTGCACTGACACACTGCTTGGCAGGCCATGCTGTGGCGGCGTCCCATATAAAGTGGAGGAAGATGGGCATGGATGTTAGCCCAGGGCCAATCTTCCTCAGCAAAAAGAGGAGCATTGGTAGATGTTAGCTCAGGGCTGATTTCCTCACAAAATAAATAAATAAATGTCAGCTTGACCCGACCAAACGCCTCAGCAGGTGCCCTTCTGGATTTCTGGATGGTGTCCACCAGCCTCCGCCTTCTGAGCTGGGCCCACTGGTAACACAAATCATTTTCCAGGTGGCCTCACGCTAACCCTAAATGCCAAGACATTGTCTGAACTTGATCTTATTCCCATTTAGCAACTATTCTCTAACTAAGTCAACCCATCCTAACAGGCCCTCAAGAGAAAACACTGACTTCATATACTCTTATTTTAAACGCCAGCTGGTCTACAGCTCAGTGTTGTCTGAGCTATTTAAAACAGCGAGAAGGGGGAGAGAAAAGGATGGGGCGAAAAAGGGAAGAAGAAGGAAGAATGTCAGGCAGAGCGAGCAAGTCCGTGTGTGCAAGCAGCAAGGACTGGCAAAGGGCACGCGTGCCCTCTGGGTCGGCACGCTGCGGGACGGGGCCACGGGGCTCACCTGCTGCTGTGGCTGTCTTGTCACTGAGGAGCCTGGTCTGGCTGCCTGGAATGACCGGGAGGTCCGTGTTCTCAGGGGACTGTGGCAGGTTCTGGGCTCGGGTGGCCAGGAGTGCATTGAGGTACTGCAGCCGCGTGACCTGCAGGACAGAAAGCACTACTGGGCAGGTGCGACTTGTGAAGCCAGATTGGAGAAGATGACGTAGGACAGGTCAACCACTCCCTTCTGCCCACAAGCACCGGAACTAGGTGGGAGAGTCGTATTTGGCAGGACGAGGAAAAAGGAAGAACCTTAAACTAGCTAAGGGCAGAGAGACGCAATCGAGCAAAGTGTTTCTAAGATCTGAGAAGGAAACCAGGTGCAGAGGCCACGCCAGAGATGGGACCAGAGTTAGAGGGGCCTCCAGGAAACCAAGGCCATCCGTCCTTCAGAGCAAGTACAAGGTCTTGCTCTGCAAAGTCTCAGATAGGCTCAATCAGACTTTACTCTTAATCCATACCAATTTGTGACCAGATGGTCTAGCCCCTTGGGGACACAAGGCTGGTTACAAGCCAGCACCAATGAGCAGCCCAGACGGTCACCTTAATGAACTGCAGGTCAGAGAGGGCCCTCACGGTGTAGTCAGGACAATACGCAGACAAGCGGGTGCCGTCGGCTGGCTCAGGCTGCGGGTCATGGCGGATGGACTGGAGCGAGGACACTGGGGACTGGTGAACTGTCGAAGGGAACAATCAGTGATGAGGGAAGCCCCCCAGGCCTGGTGGGGACAATTGCACAGCCTCTAAGATGCACCCCACAAATCACCCTGGAGAGGGCACATGGCTAGGAACTGTGGAAAGGATGGGAAAGACACTTCCTCCTGGGAAAGGTCTGCAGGGGTGCGAGTGAGCAACCAAGATGAGCCCTGAAGAAATGCTGCCCCTTCCTCTAGGCAACCTAGAGATGAGAACAGCCAGCACGTCCCACACTAGACCACCCTGTAGGAGGCGTGGGCCCTGAAGGAAGGGAAGCCAGCATCCTGGGCACTGGAGAGCCCCAGCCACAACCAGAGGTCGGGGGGCGCTCACCACCCCAGCAGCTGAGCCCAGCCCTCAGCTCCAAGAGAGGCTGCAGCTTACCCGACGACGGTGCTGTCAGGGCAGACACTCCATAGTAGGTAAAGGCCCCGTTCTCGAACTTCAGGCCCTCTTTCCCGATCTCCACCTCAACCCTGCCCTGGGAGGTGAAGGGAGAGAAACAGATGTGGACAGATTCTCTCTCATCCCAGAAGAGAGTACAGGAGAAAATACCAACCCCAATTATTCAGGGGGTGTGTATCTGGACGCGCCTCCCTCTTCTCAGACCCTTCCCTGCTCTCTGAGCAAGCGGGAGGCTCCAGTCTGGGCTCCCAGTTACCTGCAGGATGAGAATGAAATAGTCCACTGGCTGGCTGCGCTGGTACAGGTAATGGTGTGCAGCCAGGCGGCTGCTCTCGTCAAACCTCACTTCCTGGTTGACGCTGGGATGCTTCAGCAGGTGCAGCAGGACCTTCTCGGAGATTCGCAGTGGGCTGAACACATCCACCTCTGCCCCATGGTGGGAAAAAGGGACGGTGTCCACGGGGCCCAGAGCAGCCTGCGTAACCACACCCGACTCCTGCTGCCCACCTGGCTCTCTCCGGCTGGCTCATGAGCCGAGTCGCCCCCCAGGACAAGAGAACTGGGCAGGCACATACACCCACCCGGCCGAGGCTCCCTGGCCGTGGCTCCCCAGAGGTGGCACCAGCCTGGCCCCAGCTCTTGGCCATCTGGTGACCCGGGATGCTGACAGGACTGCAGAGAGAAGCGCCGAGTTCTGGACACTCTCCTGCGTACTGGGAACGGGGAGCATCAGTGTCTGCCCTGGGCTCTCCTGATGCATTGGATGGGTAAGCAAGAGGCAGAGACAAGGCCCGCCCTCACCCTCACCTCGGGAAAGGAAGCGCTGGGTGGCCAAGAGCAGCTGGGGCGAGATTTTCGCTTTGCAGTCATCGTCAGACGCCTTGAACAAGGAGAACTCCTCTTTCCGCCTGAGAGGGGCACTCAGGGAAGTGTGCTTCTTCCTTACCGTGGTGTCTCCTAGGCAGGGAGAAGAAAGCCCGCTCAGGCATTCACAGCCCTCCAATCAACACGACCAAACCAAGGGGCATGTGGCCTGCTCCTTCCTCCCAAGGCCTGGGGGCTCCTGGGGGAGACAGCATCAGAGGCCCAGGGACACGTCCTGGGCACTGCTCCCTTGACGGCACCTGGCTGCCACTCCCACCACACAGTAATCCTGGTACCCAGGACAGAGTGGGCAGCAGCCCACATTCCAGCTATCTCCTGAGCAAGTACTACAAGAGACTGCTCCTCTCCTTGGAGCTGGGAGAAGATAATGCTGATATGATAGCAAAGCAGCTTATAGAAAATTGGCATCCTTGGCCATTAAAAGACCCTTGCTGGAAAGCATGTATGTGAGGATTACTAGTGCTAAACAGCAGCTAACCTGGTGACCCTGTGCCCATGGCAGTCTGAGGACCCAAACTAAAGATGCTGCATTTTGGGGACAGACACATAGGCAAAGCAATTCACTTGACAGCATACAGGGGTGGGCGGCTCAGTGTCCTAAGTGCTCGTGTGAGGCCCCAGCCATCAATCATGGGTTCTGTGTCTGCCCTGCAGACCTCAGCCATCATCCTAAGAGGCAGACACTTCTAAGACAAAACCACAGGCCCCAGGATCATCTGTTTGGGGAAGACCCTCTCAGTAGTAAAGAATGGGGTCCTTGGAGGAGATACTTCCGTAATGTGTAAAAGAACATGAGAAAGCAAAAGGACCAAGACCGAAGAATGGGCAAGATCCGTTGAGGGCAGAGCCCTCCCTGAGCGACAGAGGGAAGGAACAGTATGGATGCTAACAGAGCCCCATGCAAGCACTGGGACTGCAACACCACCAAAGGGATGGGCCGCCTCGGCTCTGCACGCAGGTGTGGGCCCTCCAGCAAGAGGGCAGTACTGGCCTATGCAGGGCTCAGGAGAACGAGGCCTGGCTCAGTAACAGCTCTGACCGGAGATCAGCCCCATTTCCAGCAACCCGAGCCCCGCCATCCTGATGCGCACACGTATCTCAGTACGCTTGAAAGACCAGCTGACAGGGACAACTGCAGGGAGTCAAGACTCACGGTAGTCTTCAGACTCGTCCAGGATCTCTGACTTGATGATCTCCTCAATGACGTCCTCCAGGGTGACCAGGCCCAGCACCTCGTAGAAGGGGTCACCTTCACCCTCGTTGTTCACCTTCTGCACGATGGCCAGGTGAGACTTCCCTGGGGGAGGGGACACTCATGTTACAGCCTGCTGGAGGCCTCTCATATTTCTTAGTCCCATCTGGTACAAGCCCAACAAAAAGACAGAAGCTGATGATGTTTTCTGTTCCTACAACATGCCAGGTGCTGGAGGAAACTCTTTCTAGGTTCTTACTTAAGACTCTCAACACACTCCTGAGGATTAGCCTCCATTCACATGAGAAACCTAAATCTCAGACCATCTATCCACCTGCACAGGGCCACCCAGGCAGTGGCAGAGGCAGAGTCAGCCCCAGGGCAGTGCGACTCCATGCTGTGAACGTGGTTCAGACAAGGACACATCCAGACTAGAAGACACAACAGGACTGCAGACACAAGGCACCGACCCCAGAAACGCAGGCTCCCGAGACAGTCTAAATGGGGGCAGCTGAGAGGCCCACCCAATCTGACTCTCCAAGGGAAGTTTTCCCAATTCTGAAAGCTACTCTTGATTTCCAGAAGCCACGGTCTATGAAAGTCATCCAGCGGAATAAAGATAAACAGTAACCGGCCAGTCAGAGCCCACACCACGTGAGAGGAGGAGCGGCAGCCTGGAACTTTTCACCTTCCTCTTCCATGTCTGTCTCAGGTTAGCTTCACTATTTGTTTTGTATGTTATTGATAAGGAAATGTAAGCTTGAGAAAAGCCCAAGCCTCAGACTGCTGGGGAATGCTGGGAAAACGTCAGGAGTTTGCTCTGCTTCAGGGACATGTTTTTCACCTACAAAACTTTATACCCGTCCAAAAGCCAGAGAATGCAAGCCACATAGATAATTTTAAATTTTTGAGCAGCCACATTAAAAAAAAAAGACACAGGTGACATTGATAATATATTGTAATTAACTCAACATAGCCAAAATATCATTTCAACATGTAATCAGTATAAAATATTAAGAGAGATTTTATTTTTTTGTACTAAGTCTTTGAAGTCAGGTGCGTGTTTGGCACATACAGCACATCTCAATTCAGACTCGTTACCTTCCAAGAGCTCAGCGGCCACCCGTGGGGAGTGGCCACCGGGCTGGGTGTGCACGTAGGACACAGGACTGAGAGCAAACTCGGCTCAGCCTGCTCCTCTTTGTCTCTAGCGACAAAAGCTTAGGGTAACGCTGGCTGGACCTGCACGTAAAGGCGGTACTTGCTTCAAGAATCCTTTGGTGAAGCAAAAAGTCAAGTTCACTTCCTTATGTGACTCCCACTTCACATACCTTGGGTTTAATTACGGTGTCGTGAACTGAGTTTAGAAACACAGCCTTTGGAAGTCCATTCGGCATGCTCCACCTCATTCTTCCAGCATCCACGCACACCCCCTCCCCCCGAGTGGTCAGCTACAGGAAGACCTCTGCCCCAAAGCTGGAGAGAATCAAAATGTCAGTCCATCAAAAGCTATTATCATTATTATTATCAGACCACCAACCAGATGATCAAGAAAGGAGTGAGGCTGTAAAAGAATAGAAAGATAACATTTACTGTATTTCATCAAATCTAAGATGCCGTCAATTGTGAGACACATCCTGATTACAGAGATGTTAAAATGCAAAAAGGGCCAACCCCGTGGCTTAGGGGTTAAGTGTGTGCTCTGCTGCTGGCGGCCCGGGTTCCGATCCCGGGCGCGCACCAACGCACCACTTCTCTGGCCACGCTGAGGCCGCGTCCCACATACAGCAACTAGAAGGATGTGCAACTATGACATACAACTATCTACTGGGGCTTTGGAGGGGGGGCGAAGGAGGAGAATTGGCAATAGATGTTAGCTCAGAGCCAGTCTTCCTCAGCAAAAAGAGGAGGATTAGCATGGATGTTAGCTCAGGGCTGATCTTCCTCACAAAAAAAAAAAAAAAAAACTGCAAAAAAAATGTGCATCTGAGAACTGAAGAAATGCAATTTTTAGTGCTTACTGTGTGTTGGCCACCAAGTGCTTTACTCATTGGTTAACTTAGCAAATTCTCTGACAACTTGATGAAGCATATAGTACTGTTATTCCCACTTTACAGTTTACAGGGAAAACTGAGGCCAAGAGAGGTTCAGTAACCTGCCCAAGTGCACACCTGGGATTTGAACCCAGGCAGCTGGCTCCTGAGTCCATTCTCTCAACCACCATGCTCAGCTGACCCTTAGGAGAGCCTTCCCCTCTAGGTGACTTAGTGCCATGGTGCTCTGTTCTGCATGGAGGCATTTCTAAAGAAAAGAAAGCACCACTCTTCAGAATGCTCTAATACCCTCGGACAAAAATCAAAGGTGGAAATGGCCACATTAAGTTGTCTCTCCCTTTCCAGGAGGAAAAGGCCAGGGGTCCCTGGAGAACTATCTGTTCATTCCTGCTGAGACAAAGGCACTGAATAAGGAACGCAGCATTTCTAGATCTTTCCCGACCCTCAGCATTGGTGTTGGGAATGGCTCACACTGGCAGGCAGGCAGGCACCATTTCTTCAAGGACCATGGCGGCCCTGCCACACAATACAAATCTGTCAGGCCAGATCAGGAAGGCCAAGGCTCAACACACAATTTTGGTCAGCAGTCTTTCTGGATTCTGAGAACCAAAGTCCAGGTTCTAGGTGGCTATCTAAGAGCAGAGAGGACCCACTTCAGCTCCCTTCTTCCAGGAAGCCAGGCCCTTTGGCAGGTTACCTACAGAATGGACTCGCCTCTCCCTTGCTTTCAAACTTCTATAAAATAGGCACAAATTTCTCACTGATCTGCCTCATGGGATGATTCAGTAATGAAGAGAAGAACGCAGAGCCCTGGAAGATGCCCTAAAACAGTGGCCATGTGATTTAATCTCAAGACAGAATGTTTGAGGGGTCCAGAAGGAAACCGCGAGAAAGCAGTGGGGTACAGAGAAAGGGCCGCGGGAAGGATTAAAGTTGATTTCTTGTCTGACAGGATAAGATGGCCTGAAAATATGAGGCCCCTGGCTGGCTGACTGGAAACACCACCGCAGGCCCCAAGACAGGTGCCTGCGGGCTCTCCCTGAGCAAGCTCCACAGAGCCACAGGCAAGGGGCAGAGGGCACATCTTGCCAACATCAACCAGAGAGCTCTGAAAAAGCTCTATAGAGTTTTAATTTTAGTTAGCAGGCTCAAAGGCATGCACAAATTTTATAGATGCCAGAGGACTCTTCCATAATACCCCAGTTTAGGCTATTCTTAAAAATGCAGTTGGGGCTTAAATTCCTCTGCCTTCCCTCTTTTGTGTTTGTCCGAATATGTCCTATGAGAAAAGTACTGTGCTAACATTCCACACAGCACGTCTGACCCTTCAGAGTGTGGCAATCCTTTGACTTCTGACAGACAACGAACCAGAACTCAGTTGGTTTAAAGAAGAGACCCTGAAAAGCTCACCCATCCTAATCCCTCCTGTGGTTGAATGTCCTGGCACAGTCTCAGTGGGGGTTGACAAGGCGGGAGTTAATGGCCTTAAAGAAAATACATGTTTTTTTACTACAGCTCCAAAGTACTCACTCTTCCTGGTAATGTTGGCACAAAACAACTGGTGTCATCTCAACTCTGCACGCTGAGGAGTGCCTCCCGGGGAAGGCACCTCTCTGATTATGAAGTTCCAGAACAGACGGAGCTCTGAAAGAATGAAAGATGCAGGGCCTGGAACAGCGGCTGCCAAGATGCCAGGGACTCCGGCTTCAGGAAATTCAGAGGGCACCAGCACCTCATACACTTGCCAGAGAAACGGGAAGGGAAGTGATTTCTAAAACCTCAGGCGCCATAGAGGCTGCAACATGCCCTTTGTTCGTAAGCAGAATGAAGAAGAGGGTTAGGCTAAAAAGGACTCCAATGAGGAAAACCAGATTATCCGCGAAAGGCTTGCATTGCACAAGAGAAGCACAGAAAGCTCTAGGATGTCACAGGAAAGACGTGGTCATTTTGCCCGGAGAATGGCCCTCACTCACCACTGGAGCAGGAGGGCGAGGGGGACTGAAGAGCTTCCCACTCAACAGCTACGTTGCAGATCCCCCACCCCCACCGGCTTCTAGCTGGCGGCTTTTCAGCATGTTGTCAGTAGGCAGCTTCTGGTCTGGCATCAGGCTGCACGAAACCTGCTGGGCTCTCCAGAGCTGCTTCGAGGCCACCGCCCCAGCGCAGGAGCAGCCCATACTGCGGCCTTCCCTCTCTACGGGCTCCTTCCTACCCACACTGCAACCTAAACCCACTCGACTCGCCCATCTTAAAAGCAAAGAGCAGAAGGCCTCCCCAGCCCGTCCTCTCCTAGTCACTGCTCTCTGGCTTCTCCTTTGCAGCCACACCGCACGGAAGGCCTGTCTACGTTAGCTGTCGTGCCTCTTCACGTCCCATGCACTCCCCCATCGCCCCATGCCATGGTGCAAATCTGCTCCTGCAAAGCTCAAAAGTGTCACAGTTGCTGAATCCAAATGACATGACACTGACCTCCTCTCCTGATCACTCTCCTTCCCTTGGTACGTGATCTCTTTCCTTAGCTTCCAGGACATTCCGAGCCTCTGGCTCTCCTCAGCAGCTGTCCTCTGCTGCCCTCCACCCCTTACCTGCTTGTGCCCCCCAGGGGTTTCGGCTCTCTGCTCCACCCCTGAGGCATGAGGGACCACTTCTACGCCAACGATCAGATATTTACCTCCTGCTCCTGCGTGCTCTTTCACTTGCATTTCACATTAACAGCCTCCTAGGAGTCTGCCTCTGGGGCCACTGCACAGACACAAATCCCAACGTCCATAACAAACCGCCTGGCCCGCAACCTCCATGCCCTGTCTTCCCCGCACGTGCTCCGCCTCAGCGAAGGGCACCACCACCACCAAGCCGGGAATCCAGGCTTCATCCTCAGGTTCTCCCTGGCTCCACAGCCCGTCAGCAAACCACAAAATCCTCCCAATTCCACCTCCGAAGGCCCTCTTGGATCTCTTCTCCAGGCCCGCTGTGCACCCTCGTTCAGCCTACCATCATCTCTCTTCTGGACCCCCCTAAACACTGGTCTCTCTACTCTGGTCTCCTCACCCGTCAGTGACCTATGAAAACCACTCAGACGGTGCCGTACTCTGCTCACAGCCACGGCCCTGGCGATCAAGTCCACCCTTCCAGGGTCTCAAGATGGGAGGCGGCAGGGGCGGGACGGAACCCTCCCCAGTTGACTCCAGGGCCAGCACTGCTGGCCACCAGGCCACAAGAACCACCACTGCCTCGGAAACTGCAGTGGCCCAGATGGAGTACTTACCACCAGAGGCTGTCTGGCCCCCACTCCAGGCTCCCCTCCCCAGAGAGGGGCTGCATGGCCACTTTCTCAGGAAACTGCCAGGAGCACCCAAGATATTCTCTAGCAGAAAAATCAGAACTGCCCATCAAAGTCTCCTACCCCATCTGAAGGCACAGTAATAACAGTAACAGCCTATTAACACCCAAGTCTCCTGCAAGGATTACAGGAGATGATGTGTGAGAACACCTACAAGTGGCTGGCATACAGCAGTGTGACAGCAGGAGTAATGGGGTCATTACCACAAAGCCTTGCCTCCTTGCCCTGACTGTCCAGGGGCTCAGAGAGCACCTCCCAAGCCCACCTGGGGCCAGGAGACATCGCAGCTGCCAGAAAGATCAGAGGGCTCTGCTCACTTCCTGGCCTCACATTATGCAGCCTTTAGGGTCAGGCCCACCCAGAGTCCTGGGATGTCCCCCATGCCCATCCTGCAGGAGTTCAGATGTGAGAAGCATGGCTGGCCACCAAGGAGCAGCCAAGCTCTGGAGAGCACACCCAAGCCTGACAATGGAGAGCACTGCAGAGGAACTCACACCTCCACACCGGGAGGGTGGGTGTCAGTTTTTACCTGCAACCTTAGAACTGTTTAGATAGACCAAGATGAAAGGAGAGGGTGAAAAAGTGGAATTAAGGGAGAATTTGAGAGACCTTACTCAGGATTAGAAAAGAGAAAGTTAATAAAAAGAGAAAGAAAGAAAAGAAGACAAAGGAAGGGGAGACTATATCCACATCAACGAAGTTGCTTTTGGTGAAATCAAAATGGAAGTTTCTTCCACACCTGCAGAAAAGCATTTATGAGTCATTCCCTTTTCTGTAATCAGGAAGGCAGCAGCCCTTCAGTGACCTTAACAACCTTAACAACGATACCCTGGAAACATCACCAGCCCAGCTAATTTGATACCATATGTGTGCAGCTAATTGCGTCCAGATATGTGCAGACTGTACTCTTTTCTATGTTCTTTTAGTTTCCACCCAAGAGTGTCAACCTGCTACAAAGCCAAAGCCCACAAAAATGACCTGGGAAAGGGAAATAGCTGGGGGTCAGAGCCAAGTGGACACACCTCCCCAAACTGGGGGCCGACCAAGAAAAGGGGGATTTTGCGCTCTGTAGCACTGTCACTCTCTGAAAGACAGCCTTTTATATATTACAAAAAATCATTCAGAGCTTCAAGGCCATCCTCTTCTTTAAAAGAGCACTTAGAGATCTCACTGCCCTCCAGAGGGATGGAACCCCTTCCTCGAGGCTTCCATAAACTCCCACTCCTTTTGTAGGGGAGGCCGCTGGCATTCGAGTCCCCTCCGCGATTTCCCGGACGTTACCTCGCTTGAACTCCTCCAGGACGGCGTCCAGCTTGGTGTCGTTGAAGACGAAGTGGAGTGGGTGATTGTAGAAGCGGGTGATGGTGCTGAGCGGCGTGCAGTCTTCGGGGTCCACGAAGGCCAAGTCCTTGAGGTAGAGCATGTCCACGATGTTGGAGCGCTCCTCCTCGTACACGGGGATGCGCGTGTAGCCGCTCTGCATGATGCTGGCCAGCACGCCGAAGTCCAGCACGGCGCTGGCGTCCAGCATGAAGCAGTCCTCGAGCGGCGTGAGCACGTCCTCCACCGTCCGGCAGCGCAGCACGCCCTTGCTGAGATCGCTGTAGGGGTCGCCGCCGCCGCGCGCCAGCTCCAGCACGCGCTCACGCAGCCGCCCGGGCCGCGCCGCCAGCTCCAGCAGCTGCCCCACGGGTAGCGCCACGGGCAGAGTGAGCAGCACGGCCAGGCGGCTGAGGACCAGCGCGCGCGGCGCCAGCGCCAACGCCCAGCGCCCGCTCACGGCGGCCGG